AGAACTGGGGGTGAAACTAGGTCCTATGACTCCTGGTTTAGTGCTCTTTCTGCTCTCTGTGTATGAAGAACTTCTTTCTCTAAAAAGAGGCAGTTGAGATTTGACAACTATTAGAAAAAAATTATAAATTAGAAAAAAATTATATTCTAAACCCATGCTTATCCAATAGTACAACCCCTCATCACAGGTGACAATACTGAGCATTCAAAACGTGGCTAGTTCTACTTGAGATTCACCATCACTGTGAACTACACAATGGGTTTCATGATCTGTCTGAAAAAAAAAAGGAGAAAGAAAGTAATATATCTCATGAAAATTGTTATATGACTTACATGTTGAAGTGATCATACTTATTTATTAATTTTAATTATTTATACATTTAATCTTACACATCATTTAAGATTGTAAAGAGACTTTACCTAGCATGATATATACCTCAGTCCAGCCCAGTTGAGAATACCATACAGATACTCATCAACAAATAATAAACCATATCTGTGTCCCACAAACATCTTATCTTTCTATTTTTTACTTTACATTATCTTTCCTACACTCGTCCCTTCTCACTCTCTTTTTACTTTGTCTCTAGAAGTGATCATACTTTGGAAATGATTTTCAAATAGAATTATTTTTAAACATGAATGTATCTTTATGTTTTCAATTAAAAAAAAAAAAGACTTCTAAATTGCCCATGAGGCTACATTGCATACCTACTGGGCATTGCTGGTCTACACTGTTCCTTCGTAGAATCAATTCCATAGCTATAGCTTTATTAATACTGTGTGATGCATTGATATATTTAAAAATGTCTTTCAGTGCTTTTGGATCACTAACAATACATGTGGCCTGAATCAGATCTGAACCAGGTAGTAGATTATTTCTGAGGGTAGTAAAACACCCTCGCAAAATTTTAGCCCTAACCTAGCTGAGCTTACTGTTTTGTAGCTGTTAAATTAAGCAGATACCATTTACCACTGTCCATTTTTATGTTGATGAAGACACTATTTGTATAACATTTCTTCCTACAAACACAAAAACCTAATGCACTTTGTGTAATAGGCTATTTGGCATGCACGCTACATGCCATAGAATATCTGAGTTCACATGCAGGTGGCGAAATACTGACATGTAAAGTCGTAGTTTCTATCCTTCATCCAAGGAGGTTTGTCACTAGATGTTTTCCAAGGATGGGCTTTATGTGATCCCACATGCAGGTGGCGAAATACTGACATGTAAAGTCATAGTTTCTATCCTTCATCCAAGGAGGCTTGTCACTAGATGTTTTCCAAGGATGGGCTTTATGTGATCCTGTGATCACATAAAGAGAGACAGAGACGGGTTCAAAAGGGAAAACAGGAAGAAGAGAGATAATTTCAGAGCAAGACAGAATATGCTAAAACAGGGTCTCTTGAACTTCAATGTGCGCACAAAGCTTTTGGGACTCTTGTTAAAATGTACATGTTGATTTAGTAGGTATGGGTCGAATCTGGGATTGTGCTTTCTCTCTCGATCTCTCTTTTTGTTATTTTTTTTCTTTCTTTCCTTCTTTTTTTTCACTTTCTCCCTCCCTCCTTCCCTAAATCTTTCTTTCATTCTAATTTTCTTTTTCCCTTCCTTCCTTCCTTCCTTCCTTCCTTCCTTCCTTCCTTCCTTCCTTCCTTCCTTTCTTCCTTCCTTTCTTCCTTCCTTCCTTCCTTCCTTTCTTCTCCCTTCCTTCCTTTCCTCCCTTCCTTCCTTCTTTCTTTCTTTCTTCATTATTTCTTTCTTATTCCTTCTATTTCTTCCCTTCCTTCTCCCCCCCTTCCTTCCTTCTTCTGCTTCCTTCTTTTGCCTGAGAGAGCATGCATTCATCAGAGGGTAAATGGAGAGGGAAAGCACTCAAAATGTGGCATGGTCGCACCGCAATTCCTTCTCCATTTCTCTATTATGTCAGAATTTTAGGCACATGTATGCCCATGATCACTGGAGCTCTTTAAGCCACTAGTGCCCAAATTCAAGTTGCACAATTGGCCTTGTCATGTGGGATCTGGCTACCCTAACCACTGCGGTATGGGGTTGGTCCAAGCTTGTACATTTCTAACAAACTCCCAAATGATGCAGATAATTTCTTTATGAATCACAATGAGTAGCAAGGACCTTGTTATGGTTTGGATAATGATTTGTTTCCTAGAGGTTCATGTTTTAAAATTCAGGCCTAGCAGGGAGATTATGGTGATTGGATCATGGAGACACCAGACTGGTGAATGGATTAGTGCTGTCTCGTAGGAGCCCCGGTGAATTCTAGTTCCTGTGATGAGGGCAGGTTATTACAAGAGAGGGCTGCCTACAACTTGCTCTCACTCTGCATGTGCCCACAACCCTCCCTGCTTCTGCTGGTCGTGTTGCGGGCTGGCCTGATTCTCATCCTAGACCTTTGGACTTCTCAGCCCCCAGAAAAATGAATCAATCATTTCTCTTTTCATATACATCACCCATTCTCAGAGCCAGCAGGAGGTGTGGTGGTTAAGGCACTAGACTCCCACATGGCCAACTGCAGTTTGAGTTCTGGCAGCTTGCTTTCTCACTTTCCTTCTCTCTTGTTCTCTCTTTCTCTCTCTCATCAAGTTACAAATAATAATGATAGATTCAATAAAATAAAATAATTCTTAAAAAGTCACCCGGTCTCAGGTGTTTTTGTTAGTAATGGAAAAATAAACTGAGACAGACATAGCACATGTACATGTTTTAGGAAGTAGGAAATATAGGAAAGACCCACTGAATGGAGCAGAGAGCAGGGGTAGGACACTGGACTCAAGTAAGGAGCATGAGGGGAGAAGAGATGTTTTACTCCAACACAGACCCCGAGTAGGAATTAGGGAGAATACAAGAGCATCAGATAGATGCTGAGGGTGGTCAGTGTGTTTGTGACACGCAGGACAAGTGAAAGGCATGTATGAAAAAAACATGAGATTAAAGGCAAAGAAAAAAGTATGAGTTTTCTCAGATACACCTGTGATAGTTCTCTGCACAGTCTCTGTGAGTAGACTACCCACAAGCGAGCTAATTAGTAAGGGAAGAACAGAAAGGAACACTCTGGGGTATTTCAATAATAAGCATAGGGCAACCCTTTGCACAAGAATTTCTCATCTCCATCCTTTAGGATGAGAAAGAAAAAAGAGAGCAAATATGAAGGACACGTGTTCTGTAGAATTTGGAAACAGAGCATAGCTGTTCAGTGTCATGAAGTTTCATGTGTTAACACTGAGAGGAATTTGGGAAACAAGGAGTAGTGACTTGGAACCTCAGGAATTCAGGTGACCAGAGGAAGTGTGGCTTGTCCAGTTGTGCCAGTAATATATGAGAAGCCAGAAGATCCAAGTTGCTTCTTGAACAGCCAGAGACAGATAGATCTTGAGTTGGGCAGGTTGACAAAACACCCTGAGATTTCTGTATTTTCTGGGCAAATATGAGAGTCTGAAGAGGGCTCTGTGAGCAGCCCAGCACAAAAAGAAAAGTGGTCAGATATCTGAGAGGTAGGGCCATGGTTCACCCTGAATAGGCAGCTCCAAAGGTGTGCCATGTGTAGCCCACCTGAGAACAGTGCTGTAAACAGGAAGTGCTCTGTTTGGCTGGGCTGTTGGCAGTGCCCAGAGGCAACACTAACACCTGTGTTGAACCTAGTGGGCTTGGTGAGAGTGGTAGACACAGCCCAGAGGAGAGTCCAAGATTCAGATGCAGTTTTGGGAATTCTGCCATTCCACCATCACCCAGCTTTACTGAAGTGTAAGAAGGATAAACTTCCCACCTGGAAATCAAATTATGGTTAGATTAAAAATAGAATAAATACACAAATAAAAAAGGGTTTCCTCAAATAAGTTCTGGATCACACTAATGCTAGCATATGAAAGGTCTTCAGAAAGTTCACAGGAAATGCATACTATGAAAAACTATGCATGGCTTTCAAATTTTTCTTGTCCCAAAATAGACTTGTACTTTAATTTCATGTTCCACAGGCTTTTTGAAGTCCTTCAGATGTTTTATTTTATTTTTTAAAACTGTAACCTTTTTTTCATTAACTTTATTTATTTGTTTATTTGTTATTTGCTCAGAGAGGGACAGAGTGAGAGAGAGAGAACAAATGAGAGGAAATGAGTAAGCAAGCTGCTAGGTCTGGGATTCAAATCACAGTTGGCCATGTGGGAGTTAAGCACCCTTAAACACCACACCACCTGTCAGCCCCAGGCCTTTATATGTTTAAAAAGTAGTGCACAGGTGGCCTATCACAAATAAGTTAAGGAGACTTTGAAAGTTATGTAGTTCTTTAAGTGGACTTAGTCATCCTTCAGCTAAGAAACCAGTTTAACTCTGCGAACACACACACAGGTACTTGAGCTTGCAACCTGGTGTGTTTCCCAAGTTGCCAGGTCCAGAACTTACACGGAAAGACCACCCTGTGGGATCCAGCCACCTTAACCACTGAACCACCAGGTGGCCCCCCTGGGCTATTTATTTCATGTAACTTCTATTTCCATCTCCCTAGAGTTAACATTTTGCTAAGCATCCTTGAAAGTTTGATGCAAAGAGTCGCAATTGACCTTATGGATAGACACATTCTCTATAGGAACTCCTGAGGCAGGGCCAGCCCTGGGCAAAGGCATTATTGGCAGAAGGTTCATGGTCCCAGCTTCTCTCTACGCACCTCTTTAACTGATGTGCCTGAGAAAATCTCCAGCACAGTCTTCAGCATTGGTATGTTGCTCACTCTGCAGGGAAAGCTTTTGTTCTTGCTAAAATAATTTGAGGTAGTGGAGGGGATAGAGTATTTGTGGTTCCCACACACTGTGGGTAAAGAGGGGTTTACTGACTGCATTTGATCTGAGTGCTGGCTTTGGTGTTTGTTTGTTTGTTTGTTTTCTTCTTGTAACACAAAGTAGCAGTTTGCATAGATAGGAATACCTGGGCTACAGGGAACTGGAGGCAAGCTGGGATTCTGCGTGCCTGATTGGACATTTTCCCTCTCATCTCTGCAGATTTCTCAGAGGAGAATGGGTGTAAGGAACCACTCTACTGTGACTGAATTCCTTCTTTCAGGATTGACGGAACAGCCAGAGCTTCAGCTACTTCTTTTCTGCCTCTTCTTAGGGATCTATATGGTCACCACGGTGGGGAATCTCGGCATGATCTTGCTCATTAGCCTCAGTCCACAACTTCACACTCCCATGTACTATCTCCTCAGTAGTTTGTCCTTTTTGGATTTCTGCTATTCTTCTGTCATTACCCCCAAAATGCTGACTGGGTTGTTATGCTCAGAGAAGGGTATCTCCTACTCTGGATGCATGGCTCAGCTGTTCTTCTTCTGCATTTTTGTAATTTCTGAATGCTACATGCTGGCAGCCATGGCCTACGATCGCTATGTGGCCATCTGCAGGCCACTGCTCTACAATGTCATCATGTCCCCTCGGGTCTGCTCTCTGCTGGTGGCTGCTGTCTTCTCAATAGGTTTCACGGATGCTATGATTCATGGAAACTGTATATTAAGGTTGTCTTTCTGTGGGTCAAATATCATTAAACACTATTTCTGTGACATTGTCCCTCTTATTAAACTCTCCTGTTCTAGCACTTACATTGATGAAATACTGATTTTTGTCATTGGTGGATTTAACATGGTAGCCACCAGCCTCACAATCATCATTTCATATGCTTTTATCCTTACCAGCATCCTCCGCATCCGCTCTAAAGACGGCAGGTCCAAAGCCTTCAGCACCTGCAGCTCCCACCTGACAGCTGTTCTTGTATTTTATGGATCCATCATGTCTATGTATCTCAAACCTGCTTCTAGCACTTCATTTACCCAGGAGAAAGTGTCTTCAGTATTTTACACCACTGTGATTCCCATGTTAAACCCCCTGATATACAGTCTGAGGAACAAGGAAGTGAAAAATGCATTGATGAAACTTTTAAGAAGAAAAATACTTTCTAAATGAATATGTTTCAAATTAAGATCAGTTTCATGTATTCATAATCACAGTTGCATGTGTGTGTTTATATCTTAGCTCTATAAGTGTAATTTAAGATGAAGTGAAATTATTTACATACACACATATATAAAACATATGCACACATAAGATTATTAAATTATAAAACAAATCTAAAAATGAGACATTAGTGAACATTTTAAATTGAAGGATTAATACCATTTCTGGTACTGAATATCTGCTTTTGGTTTTAATTTCCTGAATGTAGGCCAAAAATGAAAACATAATCATTGTGTATTTTGAATTGGAAAAATCCATTAAATTTCAGAGACATTTCTTTTGTTAAAATTTGCAAAGAAAGTATTGAACAGTGTGAGGGAAGTTATATTTTTAAAAATGTGAAGAATTTTTTTCTTGTAAATGCTTTATTAAAGACTGGTGTCATATGAAAGTGAAATTCAATGTAGATGATTCAATTAATTAATAGAGTCTTAGTAGTCGGCTTCTGCTGATTCAAGGATGAGACTTAGATTATCTAGATGAGGAAATGTTATTTGTAGTCTAATCTAAATATTTTTTTTCAGTTTGATTAGTATGTATGCAGCATCTTACAAGTTTATGTTTTTTTCCTTTTTTGAGTTGCAATTTTTCTCCTTGACTGTAAATTCGATATTTTTCATTTCTTCCATGTGATATGGTTTGAATTGAATATAATTTAAAAAATTCTGAGTTTCAAGAATGAACTCTTCTCAAGATAAAGAACTGTGTGGAGAATGCGATGTGCTAGTTAATTCATTTACTCAGCATATTATCATGGGCTATATGGCAGGAACTGTTCAAAGTGCTGAAATATTATGGTAGATATGGTAGATAAAGTCTCTTCTTATTTGTGTGGGCTGGGGAGGATTGGAAGACAATTCAGAAGTAAGTAAATTAACAAACATGATAATTATAGACATAAATAAATGATTTGGAAAAATGAGTTACATAGTTATCAGTGGGTCAAGAGCTACTCTCAATTGAGCTCTTTGAAGAAGGGAAAACTGAAAAGAAACCTAAATGAAAAGAATACAGTTCTGTTAAAAACAGAAAAGCAGCAGCAAGTTTAAAGTCCAAGGCTCTAACAAACTTGGCTATTTTCAAAAAATAGATAAGGCAATATAGCTGAAACTTAGTGAAAGAGGGAAAAGAGGTACTGCACGAGTTAGGATAAGTGGTCAAAATAAATACCAGATACTATAAGGAGTTTAAATTTTATTCTAAGAACAATGAGAAATCATTGGTATGTTTCAAAAGTAGAGTGCTATAATCTGTTTTACATTTGAAAAACATCCTATGGTTATTGATTAGAAAACTGATGGATGTGGGGCTAGCCAGTAGTGTGGTAGTTAAGGTAGTTGGATCTAAAATGGTTGTGCAGTTCAAATTCTGGACATAGCAGCATGAAACACACTGGGTGCATGTACAGAAAGGAGCGAGAGATGGAGGAGAAGGGATTGTAAAGTGACGGTCACCCATAGAGGGTGCCTTCTTACATTCTCTCTCTTGTATGCGCTTACTTTATCTCTCTCTGGTGAGCACTCATTCCATTTGACAAATATAAAAGTGATCAATGTGTGTGTACTTGTGTGTTTGGGGGAGAGTTGGGTAGGGAAATGTGTGCTTTTGGCTATAATAGAAACAGAGAGAATACTTATGAAACTGTTGAAATTATCTGGGCAAGAAATGATATACTCTTAATTAGATTAATAGCAGTAAAGATGGAAAAAATAAATAGAAGGATTCACAATATATATCTGACTTTGAATCAATAAGATTTATTTTTGAATGTTAAGTGAGATGCCTAAGGGTGATACATTTTTATAATATTAAAATGATATTTTAAAAATAAGAAAATTATAAGCAGTGAAAGCAAGTCAATACTATTCAAAATAAAAATGGATATAAGGCCAACCCATGGCCTAGTGACTAAAGGAGCTACATCCCACATGGTTGATCATGGTTTGAATTCTGGCCTCGGAGGCTTGAAAAACATACTGGCACATGTACATGCTCCAAATCCTCACAAGATGAAAAAATGGAGGAGAAGGGATTGTGACTGGCACATGTACGTGCTCCAAATCCTCACAAGATGAAAAAAATGGAGGAGAAGGAATTGTGATGTGACCATACTCCACAGTAAGGGATGTGGTCCCTCTCTCTGTCTCTTTTTCTGAAAAAAATATGAAAAGATAAAAAGAAAGAAAGAAGGAAAGAAAACTAAAAAGAAATAAACCATAAAAGCTTAACTAGATTTGCTCTTCCTATCCGTCTGAATTTCCTATTAGAACAAATATATAAATACTTAGTAGAGAGGCTTATACAATTCTCTTCATTATAAGGAAAGAGGAGTTCCAATTATTCTTACTAAGCGAAGGTTGTAAAAAATCACCTCTACCTTTTTTTGCCTCAAAGAGGCGAAAACAATTTATATGGAAATTTATATGGGAGTACTAAAAAGTGCTGGTGGAGGACCAGCAGATGGCGCAATGGGCATGTCACTGGGTTCCCATGTAATCAGCTGCTGTTTGAGTTCTGGACCTGTGGCTTAAAACTCATACTTGGCGTTTGTGCTCAAAATCCTGAGAAGAAATTGGAGGATAAAGGATTGCAGCATGACCATCCCCCCTGCAGGGTGATTTCTCGCTTTCTGTCTCTCTTTTTATATATATATCTCCAGTGAGTGCACATGTCCTATAGCAAAAAATCAATCTAAAAAAAAAAAAAAAAAAAAGCTAGTGGGAAAAGTGGTTTTTTGTTTTTTTTGTTT